TGATATTGTGTATATGGACTTCAGTAAGGCTTTTGACAGGGTCCCACATCAGAGACTATTGAGGAAAATTAAGGCACATGGAATAGGAGGAGAAATTTTTTCCTGGATAGAGGCATGGTTGACAAATAGGCAGCAGAGAGTTTGCATAAATGGGGAGAAATCAGAGTGGGGAAGCGTCACGAGCGGTGTTCCACAGGGGTCAGTGTTGGGCCCTGTTATGGGGCTATAGGACCCAACATGTATTTATAAGTAACAGTTACTCTGGAATACCTAATTATATTGAATTGATGGGGACTCAGTTCTAAATGTCATAAGGGCTGATCAACCTTATGACTGAGAGGCAGCTGGGTCAAGCCTATTTTTCTCAATATAATAGGTATACTATAGACACATAAACACACAATTTAAATAAGTAGTTTATAAAGTTGTATTTCTTTTTGTAAAAGTAAAATTAAGGTGTGGTAGAATTGTGGTAACTGGAGAATTGTGCTTGGCAACAGTCTTTTGTTTTGGTGAGAGGAGCTTAGCTAGGCTTCTCTCTCTCTCCCTCTCTCTGACTCTCTCTCTCTGTGGCTGACCTTCAACCTGGCAGGATCTCTGGGTCTTTCTTCTATCTTTTGGGGCAGTATGTGTGCTCCAGGGGTGAGTTTTTATAATTTAAGTTGTGGCCACCATACCCAGGGTGACTAAAGTGTGTCAAAACACTGGTTAGCCCAGAGTTATGTCAAGAAGAGAGAAGGACAAAAGTTAATAAGATACACCATGTGGAGAACAGCTATGGAGTGTGTAGATCTTTGTTTTGAAAATGTGAGGCTGTAATTGTATATTCTGTACATATCTATTGAGAATACAGTTATATTTTTATAGTAGTAGTTTACATAACCTGTGAAGAGGGCTGGTGAAAGGATATCAGAGACACTCAGGATGATCAGCCATAATGTAAGTATTACCCCTAGACAGATAAGGCCATTAAGTAAAAAGCTACCCCACACTAGAACATGTTTACCTGGAGTTTACCTGGAGAGAGTTTCGGGGGTCAACGCCCCCGCGGCCCGGTCTGTGACCAGGCCTCCATGTAGTGAGAACCTTACTATCAAAGTATTAAGGGACAACCAACGTAACAGGCCCCCTGCTGTTCACAATCTACATAAACGACATAGGTGAGGGCATAAAGAGCGACATCAGCAAGTTTGCCGATGACACCAAAACAGGCCGTCGAATTCATTCTGACAAGGACATTAGAGCACTCCAGGAAGATTTGAATAGACTGATGCAGTGGTCGGAGAAGTGGCAGATGCAGTTTAATATAGACAAATGCAAAGTTCTAGATGCTGGACAGGACAATAACCATGCCACATATAAACTAAATAATGTAGATCTTAATATTACGGATTGCGAAAAAGATTTAGGAGTTCTGGTTAGCAGTAATCTGAAACCAAGACAACAGTGCATAAGTGTTCGCAATAAAGCTAATAGAATCCTTGGCTTCATATCAAGAAGCATAAATAATAGGAGTCCTCAGGTTGTTCTTCAACTCTATACATCCTTGGTTAGGCCTCATTTAGATTATGCTGCACAGTTTTGGTCACCGTATTACAGAATGGATATAAATGCTCTGGGAAATGTACAAAGGAGGATGACAAAGTTGATCCCATGTATCAGAAACCTTCCCTAGAAAGACGTAGAATTAGGGGGGATATGACTGAGGTGTATAAATGGAAGACAGGAATAAATAAAGGTGATGTAAATAGTGTGCTGAAAATATCTAGCCTAGACAGGACTCGCAGCAATGGTTTTAAGTTGGAAAAATTCAGATTCAGGAAGGATATAGGAAAGTACTGGTTTGGTAACAGAGTTGTGGATGAGTGGAACAAACTCCCAAGTACAGTGATAGAGGCCAGAATGTTGTGTAGCTTTAAAAATAGGTTGGATAAATACATGAGTGGATGTGGGTGGGTGTGAGTTGGACCTGATAGCTTGTGCTACCAGGTCGGTTGCCATGTTCCTCCCTTAAGTCAATGTGACCTGACCTGACTGGGTTGGGTGCATTGGCTTAAGCTGGTAGGAGACTTGGACCTGCCTCACATGGGCCAGTAGGCCTGCTGCAGTGTTCCTTCGTTCTTATGTTCTTAAGAACATAAGAAAGAAGGAACACTGCAGCAGGCCTACTGGCAGGTCCAGTTCTCCCACCGGCTTAAGCCAATGCCTTAACCTAGTCAGGTCAGTCATATTCACTTAAGGAAAGAGCACAGCATCTGACCTAATAGCACAAGCTAGTCAGGCCCAACTCACACCCACTCATGTATTTATCCAACCTGTTTTTAAAACTACACAATGTCTTAGCTTCTATGATGGTACTCAGGAGTTTGTTTCACTCATCCACAACTACCACCAAACCAGTGCTTTCCTACATCCTTCCTGAATCTGAATTTTTCCAACTTAAAACCATTGCTGCGAGTCCTGTCTATGCTAGATATTTTTAGCAAGCTATTTACACCCCCCTTTATTAATTCCTGTTTTTCATTTATACACCTCCTCATAGAAACATTTTAACACACCAGTTATCTCCAACTGAGGCAGGGTGACCCGAAGAAGAAATGAAAGCCTTTCTTTTTACATTTAGTAATTTATATATGTGAAGGGTTTTTAGCCCCTGGCTCCTGGGATTTTAGTTGCCTCTTATGACAAGCATAGCTAGTGAAGGAAGGATTCCTTACCATTTCCCCATGGAGATGAAAGGAAAAACACATGAGAATAAAAACTATACTTAGAAACACTGTAAATGATGAGCTACTAAAAATATCCACTTGGATGACGACCAACAAACTTACTCTCAATATCGACAAAACCTACTTCATACTGTTTGGAAACAGAGCTGCAAATATTCAGCTAAACATATTGATAAATGGCTCCCCCATTTCAAAGCACACTTATGGCAAATTTCTAGGGCTTCACATTGACTGCTGTCCTAAATTTCAGACCCACATACAGCATATTTCACAAAAAATCTCCAAAACAGTAGGCATCCTTTCTAAGATAGGGTACTATGTACAGTGGACCCCCGCCTTACGATATTAATCCATTCCTGAGACCTCATCGTAAGCCGAAATTATTGTAAGGCGAATTAATTTTCCCCATAAGAAATAATGGAAATCAAATTAATCCATTCCTGACACCCCAAAGTATGAAAAAAAAAATTTTACCACATGAAATATTAATTTTAATACACACAAACTGAAGAAGACATGCACAATTACTACTCTACTAAGAATAGAATACATGACATTTACCTTTATTGAAGATCTGGTGATGACTGATGGGATGGGAGGAGGGGAGAGTGTGGAAGTTGTTATTGTTTAGAAGGGAAATCCCCTTCCATTAGGACTTGAGGTAGCAAGTCCTTTTCCAGGGTTACTTCCCTTCTTCTTTTAATGCCACTAGGACCAGCTTGAGAGTCACTGGACCTCTGTCGTACAACTAATCTGTCCATAGAGCTCTGTACCTCCCGTTCCTTTAAGACTTTTCTAAAATGGGCCATAACATTGTCATTGTACAGGTTGCCAACATGGCTTGCAGTAGCTGTGTCAGGGTGATTTTCATCCGTAAAAGTTTGCAGTTCAACCCACTTTGCACAGATTTCCTTAATCTCTTTTTTCAATTCCATACTAATTCTTGCCCTTTTTACCACAGGGATGGCACTAGAAGCTTTCTTGGGGTCCATGGTGACTTATTTTGCAGTTACAAGCACTAAAAACACTGGGATAATGTGAAATGTACTGAATGTATGCGTAGATGTGACCACACTGGCTGGCTTGTAAACACTGGCGCTGAGGCCACACGTGGGGTGCGTCCCGGATGAATCCTGTAAGGCGAGTTTTTATCGTGAGGCAAGGCAAAATTTTTGCGTTCAAATGCTTCGTATGGCGGATTTAACATAACGCAATGCATTCGTAAGGCGGGGGCCCACTGTACCCCAAATGGCACTTCTTGCTCTTTACCACTCTCTCATTTACCCTTACCTCACCTATGGTATTTGTGCATGGGATTCAACCACAGCAAATCACCTTAATCCTTTAATAAGCCAACAAAAATCTGCTGTGAGATTGATTATAAACTCCTGTGCCAGGCAACCACAAATAGGTGAGTACATGTACACACACACATGCATGCACACACGCACGTGCACACACACACACACACACACACACACACACACACACACACACACACACACACACACACACACACAGCGACCTGGCAAGGTCGCTGCCTGTTCTTTCGGGGCCAGGAGCTGAGTCTCGACCCCTGCAACCACAATTAGGCGAGTGTACACACACACACACGTACATACACACACACACACACACACACACACACACACACACACACACACACACACACACACACACACACACACACACACAGTACAAAATACCAATTCGATGGTAAAAAGAGAGGTGTATGCAGTATAACTCCATCCTAAGAAAGGATTCCATAATAGTTTATGTTTAATTTCTTAAGTATTGAGTACATAGTCTTCAAGCATTAGGATTAGCTTACCCAAAATGCATTGCATACTAATGGCTTTCTTTTGTGCAAAACAGTGATTTATCTCACGTAAACTACATTATTTTTTGTACAGCATAAAAAGAAATTTCAATTTAATAAATCTGAGCTCTTACAAAGCTCCACTATGTAGTAAAATTTTTCGTAAACGCAGTTAAAAAAGCACATTGAAAAATTAAATAGCATGTACTGAGAAGGCCTGTCTTTGTGCTATTCAATTTTGGATGTACTTGTTTAATTACATTATGAAAACTTGAATTATAAAGAGGAGCTTTTTAAGAGAGCTGAGTGTATAATGTAATCTTTTACTGACAAGAAAAAGTCAAATTAAATTGCATATATGTCTTTTTCCCAGGGACAACAGGTGTAAGAAGACTTGCTAATACATGCCATCAAATAGTACAAAAAAATAGTATTTATTGTAAAATACTTACTAAGCGCAATCAACATCAAAATTGCTGGAATTCCAAACGCGAGGGAATAACAATCGTTGCCAAAGCAGTGGATATTGTCTCTCAGGATTGGAGTTACATATGTTGAAATCAACGAGCCAGCATTGATGCTGTGAAGGAAAATATATATATTTAAATTACAAGATAGCTAAATATAACTGTATAGCATATAAATTTTTGTATTACATTTTTTTTTTTTTTTTCCAACAAGTCGGCAGTCTCCCACCGAGGCAGGGTGACCCAAAAAGAAAGAAAATCTCCAAAAAGAAAATACTTTCATCATCATTCAACACTTTCACCTCACACATAATCACTGTTTTTGCAGAGGTGCTCAGAACACAACAGTTTAGAAGCATATACATATAGAGATACACATCCCTCCAAACTGCTAATATCCCAAAACCCCTCCTTTAGAGTGCAGGCATTGTACTTCCCATTTCCAGGACTCAAGTCCGGCTATATAAAAATAACCGGTTTCCCTGAATCCCTTCACTAAACATTACCCTGCTCACACTCCAACAGATCGTCAGGTCCCAAATACCATTCGTCTCCATTCACTCCTATCAAACACGCTCATGCACGCCTGTTGGAAGTCCAAGCCCCTCGCCCACAAAACCTCCCTTATCCCTTCCTTCCAACCTGTTCGAGGATGACCCCTACCCCGCCTTCCTTCTCCTACAGATTTAAATGCTCTCCATGTCATTCTACTTTGATCCATTCTCTCTAAATTACCAAACCACCTCAACAACCCATCTTCAGCCCTCTGACTAATACTTTTATTAACTCCACACCTTCTCCTAATTTCCACACTCCGAATTTTCTGCATAATATTTACACCACACATTGCCCTTAGACAGGACATCTCCACAGCCTCCAACCGCCTCCTCGCTGCTGCATTCACAACCCAAGCTTCACACTCATATAAGAGTGTTGGTACTACTATACTTTCATACATTCCCTTCTTTGCCTCCATAGATAACGTTTTTTGACTCCACATATACCTCAACGCACCACTCACCTTTTTTCCCTTATCAATTCTATGATTAACCTCATCCTTCATAAATCCATCCGCCGACACGTCAACTCCCAAGTATCTGAAAACATTCACTTCTTCCATACTCTTGTCCCAATTTGATATCCAATTTTTCTTTATCTATATCATTTGACACCCTCATCACCTTACTCTTTTCTATGTTCACTTTCAACTTTCTACCTTTACACACACTCCCAAACTCATCCACTAACCTTTGCAATTTTTCTTTAGAATCTCCCATAAGCACAGTATCATCAGCAAAAAGTAACTGTGTCAATTCCCATTTTGTATTTGATTCCCCATAATTTAATCCCACCCCTCTCCCGAACACCCTAGCATTTACTTCTTTTACAACCCCATCTATAAATATATTAAACAACCATGGTGACATTACACATCCCTGTCTAAGACCTACTTTTATATTTTATATTTTTACATCAGACCATTATTATACATTTTTTTAAACAACGGCCATCTCCCACCAAGACAGGGCGACCCAAAAAAAAAAGAAATTTAAAGTTTTCTTTTTTATATTTAATAATTTATACAGGAAAAGGGGTTACTAGCCCCTTGCTACTATTTTAAATAATAATGAAATATGAATAGCTCTTGAAATTTACACAGAGAGACAGGTAATGCATGAGATGCTACCTGAAGTAAAAGATGGAGAAAAACTGGGTGAGTTGCCGTTCCTGTTGAGGGAGGACGAACTGGTCACCACCGAAGGCTGACACACATGGTTTAATGCCTCCTGTCCCAAGAGCTATTAGGAAAAGTCCAGTTAAGGATATGCCTCTGTGGAAGAAAAAAAGATTAGATTAGATTCTTTATTTTAGCATGATGCAGCGTTTGTAGAGGGGTGGGCAACATTTACGTGCTCATGCAGAAAGCCCCTTAGTATGCAGAGCATTTCGGGCAAACTTAAGGCTATGCAATCATGCTAACATGAAGCTATGCATCAAGCTAACATCTGTTAATAGTTCTAGGCAGTGGTACAGCCAGGAGTTTAACCTGGGAGCTTAAAACTCATGAGATGCTGAACAAGTCAAAGAAATAATTTTTAAAAACCTGAATTTCACTGTGTGTGTGTGTGTGTGTGAAATATCTTTAAATAACAAGTTTCCATGGTAACTGACCAACATACAGTGAAAATTAGCCATTAATTGAAAAAATAAACCTCTTCAAGGGGGGCTCCTTGGTGTGGTGAAGAGGCTCTTGGTCTGAGGAATTAGCCCTGTCGGTCTTCTTCCTCAGACCGAACCTAATTACCCCCCATTCTCCTCTCCCGTATCCCATCCTCCCCTTTTTCCATTCCTCCTCCTCCTCCTCACCCCTCCCTTTTGCCCTTCCTCTTTTTGGCCTTTGGGATTTCTCCCACAGGCGCGCTAGTTCCTAGGTAGGGGAAAGGACACCGGGGTCCATCCCATTCCGTTGAGGTTCTTGGCGGTGGCGTAGTTTGCCGTGGAATCTGGATTGCCTGGGGATGTCCCGATCCCTCTCCTGTATCCCGGAGTAGCTTTGGGTGTCTTTCGGGCGACGGGTGTATCTCTGGAAGCTACCTTTCGGATTCTGGGGGTGGTGGCCAAAGGAGGTATGCTTTGTGGCGGATATCCGGCCGCCCTCTCTTTTGTCCACCGAGGTAGCTCGGCAGATGTGAGGTTGCTATCCCGGATTGCTGGTTTACTGGCATGAAGGGTAGGGTATGGCACGGGTTCCATGCTGCATCTGCGCTACTAGCGGTGCTGAGGTCCTCTTGGGCGCGGAGGGAGATTTCCGGCCCTTTCATTCCTCCTGGGAACTATTCCTCCCCGCTCCCCCTTTTTTTATTCTTTTTTTTATTTTTATTTTCTTTTCTTCTTTCTTTTTTTGCTTAAAAAACAAAAAGCAAGGAGTAACTCTAACCATGGCAGCCCTAGTCATGAACCCACTACCCCCGGGCCTTTCTTGATACCGCACCCCATTCTGACCCTGCTTGTGTTTAGACCACTCTTCGGACACTCTGAATGCCCTGTAACCTTTGCGGTGCTGTTTCCTCACCCGCTTCAGGTTACTGGGGATTCGACTGACTCCTTCGATTTGGCTGAACTCCACACTCCTTTGACTTGCTTCTGGCTTTCTCCCTCTACGGTACGGCAATTTTCGTATCGCCCGCCCATTTCATGCAGACCAACTCGGTCCTACTCCTAAACGCCAACATCAATATCCTGATGATGCTCCTTCTTTACCTTCCCATATCGACTCGGAAAGACCAACCACGTCAAGCATACCTCTCCACGCCAGTTTTGGACCACACAATGGACAAAATTCTTTACTTTAAGGACCGACTTCTTCTTCTGCCTACCTTTCTGACCATAGTATTGGGCAAAGCGCTCTGCGTCATGTTGGTAAGATATTTATTTTCAAGCTCTCAAGAGCCGTATGCACTTCAGTTACTGTCCAGATGCTACCCAGCTCATGATCTTTCTCTCCTTTCGATATCGATCTACTCCTATCACTATGAAAACTCTTTCTATCATTCTGTAGTGGTACTGTCATTCTGCCCCATACCATGTCCACAGAATTTCCAGTCATGTGGCAATGCATTTTTGAACAGCTGGAACTCCAGATCTCCCAATCCTCAAAGTAGACACTTATGTCCTTCTGCGGGCGGAGAACGTTACCCTTGCAATGTGTGCTCGTTTAACTTTTGACAGCCGAGAACTCCCGTCCTCTGTATATGTCGTGGGGACATCGGGTACAAGTTCGAAAGTTGATACTACACCGCAACAATGTAGAAATTACTGGTGTTTGCGTCACCCAGGCGAAATATTGAGATCTTGGCGAAATGCCCAGTCTGTGGTGCCGACGACCTATTCTAATACACCTTGAGGTCAACCTCCATCCTTGCCTTAATTGTATGAAGCTCACCATTCGTACTCCGCCGTTGCCAGGTCTACTCAAATGAACGTGAAATCCGTTGCCTCAAAGAGGCAGAAGGTCTCCCTTATGTATGCAGTTACTCATCTCGCCTCCAGGGAGACTAACCCCGCGTTTCATATTCAACGTGTTTCCAAACATCCCCCACTTCTGGGGTCCCATTCTTCCTAGCAGCCTCTCTGTTGTTACCCCTCCCATAGCCACTACGGGCATCTAAATCCTTTTTCTGTCCTTGACTCTGACGTCCCGACTTACCAACTCAGTCTGTTATCACATCTTCGCGTTCCTTCCTCACAAGTCCCCAGTATCGACAAGGACACTCGTACGCACACCTAATACCCATTGCCCCTCTACTCAGAAGTCCAAAAAAAATCCACATTGCTCAATCTTCATGCCCCTTCCTTCTTCTCTTCCACCTCAACCACTTTACCTTTCCAGTCTCTGTACCTAGTTCTTCCCCTCTCTCTGGCTCTATTACAAGTGTGGAGTTCACCCTCCTCTTTACTATGCCTTCCACCCCGTCCCTCCAAGTTCTCCCTCTTCTGCCACCTCCAGGTTTCTGCCTCTTCTGTCCCCCCACACCATCTCCAGTCCCTGTTCACTCTTCCTCCCCCTCTACTTTGGTACAGTCCATTTAAGTCCCAATTCTTTACTCACCCCCTCTTCTATCTCCACTATGGTCTCCCATCCATCTTGAATTCAGGAAACACTTGAAGCCATTTCAGAATATATTGCAGGCATAAACCTTCATGGACATGATCACTCTGTTCCTTCTCTTCCCTCTCCTCCATCTTCACAACCCATTCTTCGCAATGGCTTTCCGTTCCTTCGGTACTTGAAAACGTTCTTCCATGCACCACACGTTGACTTTTTCTAACCCCTCTAGTCCGTAGGTGCCTTTTACTACAGATTCCTGGTATTTATTCTCTCGCCAATCATGGCTTATCTTACAGTGGAATATCTGCGGCCTCAGGGGTAATCGGGGTGGGCTTCATATGTTGCTGCCAGGTTTTCCCTGTTGGTGCTGCTTTACAAGAACCCAATAATTACACTCGGCTGTTTTCCAACTATCTCAGGTATAATTTATTGTATTCTTTCGGATCCTTTCTCAGTGAGGACCTTTAATGAAAGTGCCCTTCTTCTATGCAATGATATTCCGTACTATCAACTATTGTCCATACCTCGCTGCATTACACTGCAGCCCGTATCCACTTGAATAAGTGGTTTTCAATAGTTCTTTTATCTCTTCTCCTTCTCGAGCATTTTCTATCCCAGACTTTTGCCTTTCTTGTTTCATCCTTACCACCACCACTTCTGTTACTTGGGTGTTTAATGCCACCATTTCCCTGTGGGGGGTCTCATTGTGAACTCTGTGCATCCAGTTGGAGGCTTTTCTCGCCTCTCCACCCCTCCATGTTTTAAAATACGGGTACTCCCACCCTTTGATCCTCGTACTCATACTCTCTCTTGCATCGATCCTATCAGTCTGCTCTTCCTCCATGCACTAGACTTCACTGGTTCTGTTCTACCAGCTTACATGACAGCGATTCATTTTCGATATTCTTACTTCTCCTTCCTATTCACCACCTTTCCGTAGCCCTCGCTGGCAATTTGATGGGCAATTGGGATCTTTACTCACACCTCACTGCTTTTAGTGAGGTTCCTTCTTATCTCCATTGATGAGCTTCCTACACATCTTCTCGACGTCAGTTTATTACCGCAGGCTTCTCATTCTATACCCAAACCTCTGGCAGGCATTCTCAGAAGTGCGTGCCTGGTGGTCTCTGCTTGTGCTCGTGTAGTAGTTGGAACGTGCTGCATGGGGCAGGTACCGGTACAATAGAACCGCTGAGAGACTTCTTGATTTTAAGGCGAAGGTTGCGATCGTCGCCGTGTCATCGCGAGCTAAACTCACTTGTTAGCGAGACTATGTTTCCACCATCACCTCTGCTTTTCTATTGTGAGTGCAGTCTGGAAAAAAAGTGAGAAATTGGAGTGGTAAATACTCTACTGACCCGGCTCCTGTTCTACGGTCGCTGGTGTTGATTGTAGCAAACCCTCTCGACGTGCAATGAACTTTGGCACACATCTGGTCCGTATTTCCCGAGGGCTTCCATCTATGCCCCTCGTTTTGTCTCAAAGTCTGCCAGAGAGTTAAGTACCTTGGACTTTTCTTCTCATCCGAGAAGGACTGTTTATAATGTGCCTTTACACGTCAAGAACTGGAGGCAATGCTCTCAGCTTGCCGATCATCGGCAGCTGGGCCTGACGGAATTCATACTCGTATGTTTACAACAATTTACATCGGTCAGCCCTTGTAGTCCTCTTACACCTCATCAATTTATTTGGGCACAAGGAGTTCTTCCCCAGGCCCCTGGTGGAAATCTGCCATTGTTCACTTTCGCAAATCGGGTACTACAGACATGATGGCCTCCAACTATCACCCCATCGCTTACTAGTGCAGTTGGCAAAGGGATGGAACGTCTCGTAAATCGACGTTTAATTGTGGTATTTAGAGACACACACCAGTCTCTCCGTAGTCAATATGGTTTCGTAAGGTCGTTCTACCATAGACCCCTTACTACGGCTTGGATACGTATGTTCGTTAATGCCTTGTGTGCGAATTAATCCACTCAGTTATTGCCATATTTTTTGACCTTGAGAGGCATATGACACTACTTGGAGGTAAATTTTGGCCAGGCCCATTCCTTAGGCTCCAAGGCACAATCTACATCCTTCCTTTAAGATCTTTTTAAACTGGACTGACTTCTGTGTTCGAGTCAATAATGTTCTTTCCCCGGATTCGGTCCAAGCTGAAGGTGTCCATCAGGGATGTGTTCTAAGCACAACACTTTTTCTCCTTGCTATAAAATGATTTG